CAAGGGGAACCCTATTGCTGTTGCGGGAGGGAAGAGAAGGGGTGAGGGCAGAAGTGCTGGAGATAGTTCAGACCTAGTTGAGGGCCCTGTCGACAACGGAGCTGGGGAATCCTCGGTTGAGGAAGAAGGTGGACATTTCGGAGGCTCCCTTGTCAAAGTTGGCCTCATCTGAACATATATGACGGAGATGGAGGAACTGAGAGAATGGGATGGAGTCTTTACAGGAAGCCAGGTGTGAAGATGTATAGTCCAGGTAGCTGTGGGAGTCAGTGGGTTTTAGTGGATATTAGTGGCCAGTCTATCCCCAGAAATGGAAACTGAAATGTCGAGGAAGGGAAGGGAGGAGTCAGAGATAGTCCAGGTGAAAATGAGCGCAGGGTGGAAATCGGAGGCGAAATTGATGAAGTTTTCCAATTCCAGACGAGAGAGGGAAGCAGCATCGATGATATCATCGACGTATTGGAGAAAGAGTTGTGGGTAGGGGCCAGAATAGGACTGGAACAAGGAATGTTCCACATACCCCATGAAGAGACAGGCATAACTAGGGCCCATGCGGGTACCCATGGCCAACCCTCTTACCTGACACGTAGGAAGATGGTCATGGTTGTTGGAGGTCAGTCATCTCAGCTCCAGAACATCTCTGCAGGAGTTCTTCAGGGTAGTGTCCTAGGCCCAACCATCTTCAGCTGCTTCATCAATGACCTTCCCTCCATCATAAGGTCAGAAGTGGGGATGTTCGCCAATGATTGCACAATGTTCAGCACCATTCATGACTCTTCAGATACTGAAGCAGTCTGTGTTCACATGCAACAAGATCTGGGCAATATTCAGGCTTGGGCTGACAAGTGGCAAGTGACATTCATGCCACACAAATGGCAGGCTATGACCATCTCCAATAAGAGACAATCTAACCATCGCCCCTTGACATTCAATGGTGTTACCATCACTGAGGCCCCCACTATTAATATCCTGGGGTTAACATTGACCAGAAACTCAACTAGACTCACCAAATAAACACAGTGGCTACAAGAACAGGTCAGAGGTAGGAATACTCTGGCGAGTAACTCACTTCCTGACTCCCCAAAGCCTGTCCGCCATCTACAAGGCACAGTCAGGAGTGTGATGGAATACTCCCCACTTGCCTGGATGGGTGTAGCCCCAACAACACTCAAAAAGCTTGACACCATCCAGGGCAAAGCAGCTCGCTTGATTGGCACCACAGCTACAAACATTCACTCCCTCCACCACCGACGCTCAGTAGCAGCAGTGTGTACCATCTACAAGATGCAGAAATTCATGAGGACTCCTTAGACAGCACCTTCCAACCCCAACCGCTTCCATCTAGAAGGACAATGGATAGTGGATATATGGGAACACCACCAACTGCAATCTCCCCTCCAATTCACCATTCTGACTTGAAAATATGTCACTGTTCCTTCAGTGCCATTGAGTCAATATCTTGGAATTCCCTCCCTAAGGGCATTGTGGGTCAACCCATAGCACACGGACTGCAGCGGTTCAAGAAGGCAGCTCTCCACCACCTTCTCAAAAGGCAACTAGGGATGGGCAATAAATGCTGGCTCAGACAGCAACGCCCACATCCCACAAGTGAATTAAAAAAGGACACCTAAAATCTTTTTGACCGAGTCCCTGTTGCTAATATTGCTGGTTGTGACTTCATTTCAAATTTTGTTTAATAAATAGTAAAGTGCTACTGAAATATTTTACCACATGGTGATGCAAAACAAATGCAAGTTCTTGGAGTAATTTATAAAAATAGAGGAGTGAAGAATATAAAGATAAACACAACAGCAGGAATTTTAAGCATGGTTTGGACAGTGCAATCTCTTCTATGTTGGAAAGACAAAGTGAATTGTGCTGCAGTGGCTGGTATCTCTATCTCAGAGGCAGCTTCTCTGGCTTCAAGTCTCACCTCATGATGGTTGATGAATGATTATCAATAGCACGGCCAAACAGGTTGATTATCATTCTATAAATCCTTCCCGCAGATCGTGATGAGAGCAAGAAGGGTCTAGGCCCGAAACGTCAGCCTTCCTGCTCCTATGATGCTGCTTGGCCTGCTGTGTTCATCCAGCTCTACACCTTGTTATCTCAAGAGAGTCTGTGGTCAGCCAGAACGGCGTGTTAGCTGCAGCCTAACAGCCTTCCCTTGTTAAAAAAAACTACACGTGACCCTGAGCCTGACCCTTCTTACTGTTTGCCGTCTTACTGTCCCTCTGTCCTCAGCCTGCTGCAATCTTCCAATGGAGCTCAATGTAGCCTGAAAGAAAAGCATCTCACCTTTCCATGCTTCTCAACTCAACACTGAGCTCAACAGTGTTAGACTGTTACCTCTGTCCCAATTCTTTATGGGTTCTTTGCTGATTTTTTTTTCCCTTTCGCTTCACTTTATGTTTTGACAGCAGCTATCCCGCCATTCACACATCCTCCAGATGCACCTCATTTTGTTATAACTTGTCTCATAGTATTACCTGCAGCCTTTAAAATGAAACCTCATTGTTTAATTCTCCACTCCATCACTGACTTCCCTTTTAGTCTTTTTCCCACCTTCCCTCCTTTCACTTGTCCAAAATCAATTACATTTCTAACTTCTCCAGATCTCATTAAATGCAAGTGATCTGTGATGTTAGCTCAGTTTCTCTCTCCACAGACACTACCTGACCTACTGAGTATTTTCTGCTTTACATTTCTTCACATTTTCTGCTTTTATTTCAGTATCTGCAGTATTTTAGCATTGCTTGGTATCGTTTTGGTTTGAAGTTAATCGTTCCAACAAATGCATTTATAAAGCAAAAACAATACGGTAAGACATTCTCAAATAAAATTTGTCAGCAAATGCAGGCAGATTGGATTGGTTCAGAATGGCAACATGGTCAGCATTGACATGGTGGGCCGAAGGGTCTGTTCCTGTGCTGTACTGTTCTATGTTGTTTAAATCACATAAGGTGGTATTTTGTCAGGTGACCAAAATCTTGGTCAAAGAGGAAGAATTCAGGAAGCATTTTAAAAAGACGTGAGAGAGAGGTAGAGAAGGGGAAAGATGTAGGGAGGCAATTCCAGAGCTTAGGACCCAAGCAGCTGAAGGAATAACCTCCAATACTGGATCAATTTATATGGAGGATGGTCAAAAGGTTAGGTTTGAGGAATGTTGGGATCTCAGTGATTATTGGGATAGCAGCAGTTGCTGAGATAGGTAAGGTTTAACATAGAATCATACAATACAGAAGCGACCCTTTCAGTCTGTACCACCAAAGCTACACCGAATCTAAAGGCCATAAAAGAATTTGAAAATGGATGAGAACTTTACAATTGCTGTTGCTGGACCAAAAGTCAGTGCAGTTCAGGAAGAATTTGCCTTTATTTTCAATTCATTCATGTGATTGGGGAGGGCATTGCAAGCTGGACTGGCATCTATTGCCCGTCCCTAGTTGCCCCTTGAGAAGGTGGTGGTGAACTGCCTTCTTGAACCGCTGCAGTCCATGTGCTGTAGGCTACACCTACAATGCTGTTTGGGAGAAATTCCCAGGATTTTGATCCAGCAACAATGAAGGAACGGTGATTATATTTCCAAGTCAGGGTGGTGAGTGGTTTGGAGAGGAAATTGCAGGGGGTGTCCTATTCCCACGTATCTGCTGCCCTTGTCCTTCTGAATGGAAGTGGTCGTGGTCAGAACTGGGGATGAGTTTAACTTGATGATCGCCGTGTGTCAGGGTGAGGTTGAGATGGTGGGAGCCTTCATGGTAATCTCAGCTGATGTGGGAATTCAACCCACGCAGTTGGCATCACTCTCTATCACAAACCAACCATCCAACGAACTGAGCTAACCATCTAAAACACAGAACAGGGCACTGCCCGCTGTAAAAGGGGCACAGTTTGACAGGAAGGATATTATTAAGGTGGAGAGGGCTCAGAAAAGATTTACCAGGATGCTGTCGGAAATGGATGTTTTGAGTTATAAGGAGAGGTTGGACAGGCTGGGACTTTTTTCACTGGAGAATAGGAGGTTGAGAGGTGACCTTATAGAGGTTTATAAAATCAAGAGGGGTATAGATAAAGTGAATGGCACGTGTCTTTTCCCTAGGGTGGGGTATTTCAAGACTAGGGGGCATGTTTTTAAGGTGAGGAGAAAGTTTGAAAAAGACAAGGGAGCAAGTTTTCTTTTACACAGAGAGTGGTTCGTGTGTGGAATGAACTTCCAGAGGAAGTAATGGATGCGGGTACAGTTACATTTAAAACACATTTAGATAAGTACATGAATAAGAAATGTTTGGCGGGTATGGAGCCAAGTACAGGCAGGTGGGAATGGTTGAGTTTGGGATTATGGTTGGCATGGACTGGTTGGACCGAAGGGTCTGTTTCCGTGCTGTATGACTCCATGACTTCCCTTTCACCAGGGTGGCTCAGTGGTTAACACTGCTGCCTCACAGTGCCAGGAACCTGGTTTTGATTCTACCCTCGGGCGAGTGCTGTGTGGAGTTTGCATGTTCTTTCTGTGTCTGCATGGTTTCTGCTGGGTGCTCCAGTTTCCTCCCACAGTCCAAAGATGTGCAGGATAGGTGGATTGGCTATGTGAAATTACCCAGTGTGCAAGGATGTGTAGGTTAGGTGCATTAGCCATGGGAAATGCAGGGTCATAGGGTAGGGGGTTGGGTTTGGGTGGGATGCTATTTGGAGGGTCAGTGTAGACTCAGTGGGCTGAATGGCCTGTTTCCACACTGTAGGGATTCTATTCTACCGTGCGCAACATGAGAACTGTTTGATGTCAGCAATTCTGCAGGACGGAGGATTGAAATTCCCAGCAAGAAACATGGAGCTTAGTCCTAACGGGGCAAGATAAATAGGTGTGGACTGTCAATCCTGACTATGGCTGCCACTCCTGAGAATATTAACTCTGTCTGCATGTGTCTCTCTCTCTGTCTCCACAGCTGATGCACGAACAAACCACAGCTTATTCAAAGCTATTTTACAGATGAACTTAGTGTTGACTAAGGGCCAAAGCAGCAAGCCTGGGATCTTGAAATCACATTTGGAACTGGAACAAAGTCAGAAATTTGTGAGGCAAGCATTTGACGTTACTGATCAAACTGAGGGAACTGAAAAACATAGCAAACCCTGAGAACAGCGAAGAACATCTTGGTTCAACATTTCCGACCCAGTGCCTGTTGAATAAAGGCATTGTCGCATGAGCAAAATATTTTATTTCCAAAACAAGGCATCGACAAAATATTGAAATGGCAGAAACACAGTCTCTCCATGAGGGACAGTATTAACATTTTACAGATTGCAAACCGCTGATGTTACACCGATATCTGGCAAATTGCTTGTTATTATGACAGAACATTTCCCAAACAACATATTTTCATTGAAGCCACGTTTAACTTGGGAATCATGATGCAATCAAATAAAGGCTTGAGTCGTTGATTTGGGAAAAGATAGGTAGAGTGGCAATACTGTCCGCGGTTGAAAAGCTTTCCGTTGCGGGGTGTAGAAGCATTGGATTCTAATGGTTTTTGTGCTGTCACCCTTGAAGTAAATTGTCTGCGTTATTCAGTCCTGCGCAGATGCTGTGAGGCCATTCTAAAGACCGAAGAACACTCCCACTCATCCCCTCCAGTAAACACAAACAGGTTTCCCAGAGTTTTATCCTGATTATCCACTAACTGTGGAATCTCTGGGTATGAGTGGATCTCAAGCTTAAATCTCACAATCAAAGGCATGACCCACTCTCACTGAATGAGACAGAGGTTGGCCAGTGTTGGGGGAGGAAAGGAAGAAGATGGGGGGAACAAAGGGTTGGCCACCAGCTGCAGTTGGAATTGTAACCCAGGCAAAGTCGACAGGAGGAGGGTGGGGAGGAAGCTGGAGGAAGGCAGCAAGTTGGAAACTGGGTGGGAGTTGGTCGTTCCCACTGGTCCTGTTCACTGGGAGTCCCCTGGGCTGGCCCTGAGCTAATACCTGAGTCTGCTAGGTGGGCATGAGACAGAGACGCTGGGCATTGCCTAGTTCTCCAGCTATGTTCTGGCCCAGGCCTGCTCTCTGCAGGGGTCAGGGGATGGGGGAGTTAGGTGGGGGGGGGGAGGGCAAAGTAGTTGGTAGGCCTTGAGGCTGATTCAAAGCCTCCTGGGGGGCAATTAAAGGAGATGGATTAGACTTTCCGCTGGCCCAACAGGTCTACCTGGGATGCCAGGGTACCTAAAACAGCCATAGTGAAAAAGGTGAGCAAACTCCCAATCTCTCTACCCGTCAACCCAAAATGGTGGCCCAGCTGCCAGTCCCATTCTCTAATTTCGCTGGAGAGGAGGCCTCCATTTTGAAGCTCACCTTTCACTTATTTACCCTCTACTGCCTCCTGCTGCTCCTTTCAGGCTGGGAGACCTTAGCCAAGCCTTCCAGCTCTGACAGCCCACATGTTGTCCTTAGTTGGACAGTATGTTCCTTCCCACCAAACCCGCACAGGCCATGTAAAAGGAGGTGGCCCTGGGAATACTGCCCCCTGGTGGTGACCTGCTTCACAGGGTAGGGGTTGAGGACCCAGAGGTGTGTGGTGGCCTGTGTTTCTCTGCCCCTGGAGGGATATCGCGGTCAACCAGGGTGGAACACCCACACATGCACAGCTCTCAGGATGGAGGGCAGTGCAAGAGAATGAGTCCTCTATCTTGTTTGGGGAAGGGAAGGAGGATGTAAGCGGTTTCGGGAGGTGTATAGGAGTGGGACAGTGAAAATCAATCCGGGGCCGATGGGGGCACTGAGCTCTCCTCTGGCAGTGCTTGGCCCCCTGTCTACAATGGGGAGCCAATCAAAGTGTACAGGAGGCCAATTAGCCTTCAGCTGTCTGCAGCAAGGCCACCCTATTGGTGGAGTATGGACCCCTAGTTGTAGTGGGCGTATTGGCTGGGCATTGGAGGGAACACATGGCTGGAAGCCAGGGGCTCCACTCAGCAGGGTCTGTTCACCTCCACGCTACATGGCTAAGCCTGGGTCAGCCAAGTGTTTCGGTGAAGGGGTTAACACCTTCTGGGCCCTACCAGCTCTGGGTCTTCATTACTAACCCCTTTCCAATAGGGCTGCTACCTTGGGGGACTCTCGGGATCTCCCTGTGCACCAGCAGCCCTCCCACCTCTCTAACCCTGTGCTTTCCATTCCAATGGGCCTGTTCCATCAATTCCTCCAACAACATCCCCTCCATTATTATCTGAATCAGTCTCCTGTCAGGGCACCTACAACACAAGGGCAGCTCTGGATCTGTGAGTTGTCCTGACAGCCGGAAATGTTCAGAGTGGGGCAGGCTCTGCCCGTGGGAGGTGGTGTTAAAATAAAAGCATCAATCTGGCTCAGGTGGAAACATAACTGCCCGCTACTGGCCAATCACGAAGCTGCATTGACGCTGGTCAATCAATTAGGATTACAATCCCTGCAAAAGGGAGAAAAATGGAAGACTATGGGAAGGAAAATATATCGTTTTTTTTTAAGAAAATGACAATCAAACTTTGCACTGTGTAGACTTGCACTGAAAGGCACTGGCTAACCCCATCCCTCCACTCCCAAACACTGACTACACAGTGGCTCATCACAAGGTCAATGGTACATTTTGAGGATGTGTTGAGGTCATCAGTCATTAATTCGGCTGCGCCCACCAGCAGGAGCCCTGGAGACAAGATTCATTTTTGAATCAAGGGTTTTCACAAAACAAAGAGAAAAAAAAAGTTGACTTGCATTTATATAGTGCCTTTCCTGACCACTAACCCACTTTACAGCCATCGAGGCTTTTCAAGAAACAAGGCAACCAATTTGCACACAGGAAGC